CCACGCGTGCGCGATGACGTCATCGCGCACGCGCAGTGACGTCTCGGCGGGGTGACACTCGGTTACCGCTCCGGGTGTTACCCAGCCTCGGGACGCCCCTGGGCTGAAGTCATGATTCTGTAAACTTGTTTTCTCGTGTGAAGATAAGTTAGCTGTTGATATTAATTATATGAAGTTAGCTGTTGATATTAATTATATGAACCAATCGGTTGACTAAAAGTTCCAGCTATAGTCACTACAGAGTGGTAATCCCAATAACATATATTAAAAATGTATGAAAAATTATCTAAGGTGTGTGAAATCACTCACAGCAATAAACTGCTGCCGTTGTAATGACAAAGTGCTGTGGAAAACATGTATCAAAGTGAAACAATGTTTGATACAATGTTTGTCACTTTGATACATGTTTTCCACAGCACTTTGTCATTACAACGGCAGCAGGTTTTGACACAGTTTATTGCTGTGAGTGATTTCACGCACCTTAGATTATTTTTCATACATTTTTAATATATGTTATTGGGATTACCACCGATTGGTACTTATAGTCACATTTTTATTCTCTTAGAGATGATCGATACATATAATTTATTCCATTTGTGAATGCACTTGAATTAACATTTATTATAGCTATTCGGATTTATGACATAGAGGCTTTTAGCGCTGTACTCCATATCTCTCAAACTTATAGGGCTTTTTGTCTTAGTTCAGCAGCTCCTAACTTCTTTGCATTTATTAATAATCCTTTCGAGTTATTGAGTCTCATTACTGATAAATAATTTTTCCATTAGCGCAGGCTTTGTTCACTATAGTCACTACAGAGTCTCATTCCACACAAACCCCCCACAACTGTTTTTTTTTTTTTCGGCATACGTATCTGATATTGTGACTGCTGAAGGTAAAACATTCTCTTTTAGACTCAATTAAAACACTTTTACCAGATATTCTTCAAGAAACTGCTGATTGTTGTCTCTGAAGGACCTTTTCATGAATATCAGCCGAGCTTCCTCTTCATACTGACTGCTCTGAGTCAAGAAATCATCAAGAGTTTTTGTGGGCAGCACAATTTTCTTCATCCCGTCCTCAAAGTGCTGTGCTGCTTCCTGGACGGCCATCTTGTTCTCCTTCTCAGCCAGAGAAACCACGGCATCCTCCATGCAGGCAAACTTAGAGTTGCTTACAGCGTCGGTGTAAATTTTAGCCAGCTCGCCCAATCCTGAGATGAGAAGACAAACTTACGGATTGTTGTTTGCTCAATCCTTTTTAACTTAAGATAATTTTGTCAATTTTTGAATCAATCATTAAAAAATAATCACATTTACATTGTTGGAAAAATAATTGAAGTGTTTTTATAACACCGAGAGATCACACCCGACTCTAATTCAAGATTTTCAGACTAATCTACTGAGTTTATATAAGAAAATAAGGAATGTGTTAAGAAAAGCTGTTTAATAATAATAATAGTGTGTGACATTAGAGTGTAAGCTCCTCTGGTGCAGAGACTGAATGATTCAGCCTCTTACACAAGGATCCCTTAATGTACACCGGTTTAGGGTAACATATTCAATGAACTCACTGTGTCCAGTGACTGTGATTGTATCATTCAGCATCTTCGTATCAGCCTTCTCCCAAATGTAGTCACAGAATTCCTTGCACTGAGTCACAAAGTTGGCATTGAGTTTGTCGTCTGCGACGTTCTCCAGTGTCTGAAGAGTTTTGTTATCAATGGTGGGAAAATCAAAAACAAAGCATTTTCGATTTCCAAAATACATCCTGATGGACTCTCTGAGATCGTTATATTTCTTGTCCTTCTTCGTCTTTTCAACTGTGTACATGGACAAAGAAACATAGAAAAGATGGTTGTTTATGATTGAAGGTTTTACTTTTAATTGTGGACATCAGTTGACACTGTACTTTCCTGCCTCCCCAACACAAAGGTTTCCACCTTTTTATTTTTTGAAGGATTCGGGTGTCAACTTTTTTAGCCCTTCTCCTGCCACCAGCAGAGCAGGTGTGGTAAGGTTGGGGTTACAATACCTCCAGGTCTGCCAGTACTTCCAGCTCGCAACGTTGTAGAATCTCTGCTATTACTTCTAATGGTGCCCTGAAAAGATGGTGGCCGAGTCCTCTGATCCAAGGTAGGTTTAAGCACCAGCCCTGGAAGTATCTGGTGCTAAGTCTTCTTATCAGCTACCCTGTTTTGTACAAAAAGAGCTTTACTACATTACTGATTGGCTGTTTCGTTGCCAACCTAGATCAACCTGATTACTTTCTTGCCTGCCACCTGCCTATGACCTCTGCTTAAAGCTGATCATTCTGCTTCCTTGCTCTTTGCTGACCTCTGCCTGGACCCAACCATTCTCTAGTCTCTCCCTGAGATATACTACCAGGGCCGGATTTACTCTCTCTGCTGCCCCAAGGCCAGGTTCCTTAACGCGCCCCCCTACCTGCCAACCCCCCTATACCCAACAACCAGCCCCCGCCCATGGAGAATGGCAGACCTGCAGGCTGCATACAATGTCTCCAAGATCACTTGTACAAAACAAGCGGCGGCTTCCCTGCTGTACATTTAGCTCTGCTTGGCCAAAGCAGGGCTAACTGTAGAAATCAACTACCCGCCCGGGCATCGGGAGATATCAGTTCCACACCCCTGCTGCCCCTCTACTTCCTGCTGCCCCAAGGCCAGGCCTTGATTGGCCTTGTGGGAAATCCGGCCCTGTATACTACATTACCGATTGCCTGTTTTGTTGCTGGCCCTGATCAACCTTTCTACTCTCTTGCCTGTCCCCTGCCTACAAACTCCACTTGAAGTTGACCATTCAGATTCCGTGCCCATTGTTAACTTCTACCTGCACCCAACCATTCTCTAGTATTTACTTGGTGCACTGTCTCCACCTTCTGGCCTCCTAGTCCCCTGCTAATTCTCTGGTTGGGTGATTCTGAGGGCCATGACCCAGTATCAGCATGCAGAAAAGCCCATCTCCACCTTCACAAGCTCTGGTAAAAACCAGCATACAAGGTATGCCCCACAGACCTTTATCTGTAGAGTTTGGATATCCCATGAATGCCCAGAAATTAATAACCCCACCACACCTGCTCTGTTTGTGTAATTGTCTTTTTTTCCTGCTGTGAGTTCAACAGCCGAGTCCTACTTTGTGCATTAGTAGCACTTCAAACAACAAATGTGAACTTTCATTATAAGAAAATTGTAACAATATTGTTATCATCCATCTTTGTTCTGCTGCTTAGAAAAATCAGATCAAATGTCTGTCAGTACCTTTGAATCAATGTATCAACTATATATTACAAGGTCTAGCTCCGGAGTACACCTTGAGCCTTTTTCTTTTTTTATTGAGATCACGGGAAATGGAGGATCAGTGTGCACAAATTTGCGAATGCCAAAGGGGTGTATGACCTACCCCAGCCATGTAATGCACAAGCTACTCAGATTGTAGATATCTCAACAAGAATTTTCAGCAACAGTTTCAAGAATAAAATTCTTCAAAATATTTTCTCTAAAGTGTCCCTGTCACCTTGGGGGAAAAAAATTGAACATGGACAGACTGTAAAAGAAGAAGATCAATACAATATAATCTTCCCTTTGTTCAAGAGTTTCATGTGCCACTGCTACCTGACAGGTTTCCCAGCCAATAGACTGGCAAGTAAAATTATTGATCTTCTTCTTTTACAGCCTGCCAATGGTCTAGGTGACAGGGCCACATTAAAGTATGGATCATACACAATACATACCTTTATTTGCTATGGCATTCTCCAGGTACTTGTCTGCTGACACCTTATTCCCTTCAATCTCCAGACTTAGATGAAAGTCTCTGATGGCCCAAACAAAAGAGGGGAAATGTCTTGAAAATTCCGCCTCCTCGTTATCATTTTCTTTCGATTTTACCTTTATTAATTCAGTGAATTCCCCAACAAATCTTTTAAAGATTATTAAGGAGATAGAAGGAGATACTTTTTCTTTTGTGTGTTCAAACTCAGAGTGGTGTAAGAATGTAAATGGTCAAAGTATAGTCAGTTAAGATCAGTGATTTCCCTCTACAGAGGGGATGATTACAATAGGCAGAATGTTAGAGAAGTTACAGTATGCTGATAATTAGGTGGTACAGGCAAGTCCTGTACTACAGTCTATACAAGTCCCAAATCCAGTAATGTGATACACGAGCCTCATAAACTAAGCACAAATTCTTCCTCTACCTCCCCCTCATTGAGCCAAATCATCTGTCACGATCTGGGATCAGGCTCAGAGTCCAGTAGCTGAAACAGCAGGCAAATTCATGGTATAATAGGCCGGGTTCGGTACACAAGCAGGCAGTAGTGGTGGAGGAGCAGGCAGAAGCGTAGTCAGCGAACAAGCCGAGGTCAGTAGCCAAAGGTATCGGGTATGAAGTGTAGACGATGAGAGTAGTTGGTGAATCAGCAGCCAAAGATCATTTTTAGGGTAGCAGTATGAGCAAATTGTATCACAGAGGGAGCAGGAGCAAGATATTGGCAGGAGCACAATAATCTGGCAAACAGGAAGTGCAGAGGCGTGGCTTAAATAGGAAGTTCAAGGGAGGAGTAAGAAGTTCAGAGTTCAGCAGACACTAGGATTAATTGAGGATTACACAGGAGATCAGGCAAGGAGCTATCCAAGGTTCTAAGGTGGCTCAACAGGTAGAACCACCGCCAGCTACAGCAGAGGCCCTGGGTTCAGATCCAGTTCCTGACTTCATCCTTCATTTGTGTCTCACCCACTCCTCCTCACAGACACTGCATCTCACAGTGGGAGGGTTTAAGAAACTGAGGCGGGGCTGTCAGACTAGAAAGCAGTAGGAGGGATTATGTGTGATCAGATGATGATTGACAGGTTACAAGCTTCTGAATCAGCAGTGACAATGCTGGTAGCCACACTCCCTGTTACATCTTCTTAGCCCATTGTAGTGCAAGCAGGCACAGCCGACATTAAAGTGACAACTCTACTCTGATTTTAGTAGCAGTGCAGCACCATTGCCCCTCCTCCCCTCATCACAGGATGCTGCACCATTGCCTCCCCCCTCATCACATGCATTAGGTAAAATTCACTAGCAGACTCAAGGAATGTTTCTATTTGCAGGAGGAATAAGAGAGAAGTGTATATGCATGTCTATAGTTAAGTGCTTCAGCACATATTTTGTTTTAATGGGAGGTGATAGTTGTACTTCAAAGGATATAAACTATTTGTGTTGTCCCCTGCCTTTGTCTATTATCATTACAGGTATTTATATAGCACTGACAATTTATGTAGCAGTTTACACATTACACATCAGTCCCTGCCCTCAAGGAGCTTACAATCTAAGGTCCCTATAACACAGGCATACATACAAGGCCAATTTACATTCCAAATAACATTCCAGCATGTCTTTGTGGGAGTAAACCAGAGTACCCGAAGGAAGCTCACACAAGCACAGGGAGAACATGCAAACTCCTTGCAGATGAAGACCTGGCCGGGATTCAAACCAGGGACCCCCCATGCAGCAAATTATGTCCATTAGATGGAGCCAAGGAGCATAGAAATGCTCCCTATGCTCCTCAGCTTCATCTAGTGGCCATATAGTGCTGTGAATCTCATTCACACAGTTGTTCGCAGTGCAAACACTTCATAAATCAACCTCTAAATGTGATTATTTTTTAGCTTGTAGAAAAGGATACTTTAATTTGTCTAAGGCATCCTGGTCAATGGTTCCTTTGCTGTTATACACCATGGTACTGCTCAGCAGGACAGCAAGGGTGAATATCCACTTGTCATTTTTGCTATCTCCCTAAAACAAAAAGCAGAAACAAATTCACCAAAGTTTTAGACAGAATTAAGAGAACCTGTCCGCACTTTTATGGTGGCTGGTACCAACTCTGGATCTCTTTAAGCAATGTGTGAAGTTGATGGTGTTTTTTTCTGCTCAGACTAATGGAGGGATGGACTGGCGGGAGTTGGAGAATAAACCTGCCTCTCCTTTATAAAAGGGCAGTGTCATGCCAAACCTAACCCAAATACATTTCCTGCAGGCACTGGACTTTCTACTTGGATTTGTGGTGATGTCATCCAATCATAAGCCAGTACTGAGCTCCCCCCCATTTATTCATTTATTATTTGGGAAACAGGAGATATAGGCAGAAGAAAGCCCCCCGGTGCCTGTATGTCTGATTAGAGCATGGTGGGATCCTCTACATTTTGACTGCTCTGATCTCTAAATAGCAACCTTCTATCCTCCTGCACCTCAGTATTGGCCAGACAGTATAAAGCGTGGCTTTCTAAATCATGGAATCATGCAATGAGTATATTTGACAACCAAAGAAGTAGGTAGCTAATCAGAGGACCCCAGTTTTTATGGCTCTTAGGCCACCACGCTTAATGTATTTCACACAATCCAGGCCAGTATGGCAAATAATAGCCACAGATTCCTGACCTGGACATCCAGAGTGCTCTGAGGTGATGCTGGGCATGTCTGAATCAGAATTCAGCGGGGTATTTAAGCAAGGTGCTGGTACTGTGTCCTAAAGCTTACTTACTGCATGTACATGAGCTTTTATACTACTATTGTTTCATCTGACCATGCTCTGCTTGCCACCCACCCTGATCTTCTGCCTGGACCCAACTTATAATGCCTCGTCTGCTTCATCTTCTGACTGCTCTCTGCTAGCCGCCAGCCTTGAACCCTGCCTTGATCTGACTACACTCTTTTCTCCTGTTTTTATCTCCTGTCTACTGGCTGTCTACTGGTTGTCTCCTGTCAGAGCCTCTGCCTTCTCCTAACCATGCTCCGGACCACTGTCTCCTCATTGGAGCAATCCTTTACTTGTCCGCCCCTTGGTAGGGCAATCCTGGGGCCACAACTTGGTACCAGCAGCATCTAAACCCATCTCCACCATCAGTAGCTCTGGTAAAAACTGGATGGTGCTTAGAACCCATGCCTCGGGTGAGCCCGTGTCACCTGCCAGAGGGTGTCATCATAACAGTGAGGCTACTGATACCATTTGATGGCCAATAATGTGGCACATTGAGAGGGAGGAAGTGGGCAGAAATAGTAAGAGATGGGTAGATCATATAAATGTGAAAGAGTTTCACAAAAGAGAACAAAAGACAAAGTTAAAATATAGGAGAATATATCATTGACTTGGTTTGATTTGGAAAATAGTTCTAACTGAGCAGGCCATCACATCCGTAAACAGGGAACATACAAAACCCATGAGAAAAGGAAATGATGGCAATTATAATAACTAATTACAACTTTCACAACAGAGTATCATCTTAAGTTCTCACCTTCTCTACATCTCCAAGTCCTTCTGTGTCCAGGAGAACCAGAGTGTGATTCTCTTTTAAGGGGTGAGGAACACACCACATCCAGATGCCTTTAGTTTCAGCTTGAATTGTGGCTCCCAGGTTAAAGCCTATAGAAATGAAATACGGAAAATCATCATTAACATCATTAACATGCAATAACAACTTCCTACTAACTCTGCCATCGTATCACCTTTCTGAGCTCCGGCCAGCTTGTTCATCAGGTAGGACTTCCCTGTCCGATACAGGCCGACAATGGCCACCACCACTGCTGGTTGACTGAACCTGGAGAGGATATCGATGGCCTTGGGGTTCACCACAAACTTTCCATTTGCTGTATTTTCAATGAGGCAGATGGGGGCTTCCATTCTGAACACTGCTCCATAGACAAAGACATAGGCAGGATTCAATGGAGGAAATATAAAGTGACCCTTTCAATATAATTCACAAAAATCAATAGGATATGTGTCAGCAATGGACAATGACATTATGATTTTGAGTAAAGAAAAGGTACCTTGTACTTGTTATCAATCAAAATAATCTGCTGCGTCCAAGCTTTGGCTCGTGTGTGCTGAAAACTAATATACCTTGAGCAACCAATGTACACTGAGTGGCCAGATTATTATGACCACCCCATCAGTACTTCGTTGGGCCGCCTCGTGACTCCGCGAGATGATGAAAGGTGATGCGAGGAATCTGACACGGCACTGTTGCCCTTCTGTTGTCTTGTACCAGTCTTGCCCCTCCCCCATTCTGCCCTAACATTGACTAGTCGCTGACGGCCACAATTCCCACATTCACACCCAGATTTTCGGCTGACAGTCCGGTCTTTAAACACTTTAACAATGAGCCCCTCTTGAACCTGTAACAAATTCTGCTGTTTTGCTGATACTCGCTCCATGGCTCCGAGCGCCAACAATCATCCCACGTTCAAAGGCTGTTACATCGCGTTGTTTCCCCGTATCTTCAGAAACAAAATCACTTCTACCGTCGTGGTAACCAACCCGCTTCCCTATTTATAATGGTCTGGCCCTCTTATGATATTGTTGGGGGTATTTCACATCATTATAGATCACAGTCTATTTTTAATACAGACTTTCTATTCATGAGGTTTGCAATCTGCCTGGCAGTTGGTTGGTTTTCAATCTGATCACCATGCAGAGGGATGCAACATCAAGGCAGTTGTTCAAAAGCCATCCAACATGTTTCAGGAGTCTAAATAGGCAATGGTGTCACTGGTGGACTGGAAGAGAAGGCCTGGGTGAAAAGGTTTGGGAATGCTAGAGTAATCATGTTGAAAGCAGCAGACGCTCTGCTCTGGTCTCTGGTTTATTCAACCGCCTCACCTTCTCATGCAAAGGATGCAGCCAGGTCTGAAAGGAAGTGAACTCTGTCTCCTGAAGAAGCCTTTTGAAGGCAAATTGCGTAGAGACTGAGACCTAGAGATGCAAACCTCCTATGCATTCGCCCTGACACTGCATACAACACTGCAACCCCGTGGGTATTGACTGCAATGGTTATCTTTGATAAGTGCCATCGGCTGTCAAATGCGACATGCTGTATATTTTTTGCTCCGATGCAAAGCATTGCAGCCACGGCAATGTATACAGCACTGTTTGGCTGCTGTGCGGACATTGCAGTAGGCAATTGGGCAGGAAGTCAGTAACACTGCAGGTCATCCATCTGGTTTTACTGCCCCTTTGCTGCCCATGTGAGCTGGCCTTAAGCTCCTTGGCGGTATGATTATCTCAGTATTTATTTCTTTTCTATTTTTTATTTTTGAGCTTCTCGCCGGAATGCCGGTGCTCGCAGGGAAGAAACCCGGAAGACGCCCGAGTGTGGGTAAATTTTCCGTATCAAAAGCGGTAACCCCGAGCCACACTCGGGATTACCGCCAGGAAGGTTATGTAAGTACAAGGGAGTCACAAGGGTTGGTTTCACCCGGTGTGGTAACTCATGGTGTCACCCCCCCCCAAAAAAAACTACAAAATATTCAGTAAGAAAACTAGACTATGGCCACTAGATAATCAATCTGCAGGGGCGGAGGACTGATACCTGCCGCACTGGGGCAGTCTGTGCAGGCTGGTTGCCGGCACTATAACTTGCCGCAGCCCCCCGACGAAAGTGATAAAACAGTCCCGGTCTCCCCGGACTCTGGAAGCGTACCAGGACCTGGTGGTGCACTGGTGTCACCCTCTTACAGGTGTCATCCAGGTGCGGTCAGCACACCCTGCACCCCCTCTCCCCAAGTGACGCATAAGATCCCCTTTCCGGCACCGAATCATAAAAAGGAACGGACAATGGCTCAGTTGAAGAAAGAGGATAAAATTATCAGACAGTCAAACTGACACTATGTTCTCCCGATGGCTGGGGAACCCTCACCCAGTTCTTATCAACCGAGGAACATTAACATTTTGTACCATCTGAGGCTACACAAATGTTCTGGAATTTTCTTCCCTGACCCTCACCTTGGAGCAAGATTACACAAGGCAATGCCCAATGATGGAACAACTCAATTACCATGTTTGCAGAATATATAACTCCTTATCATTTGTTCTTTTAGAGATAGGAAATAATCCCAACAAAGGAATTGCCTGGTTCCCGACGGTGACAACGGCTCATGCCGAGCTTCTGCCCATATTGCCTTCCCCAGCTGCCACAAACTTTGCCTTCCATAGAGAACAACCAGAGCAAGTATCCAAAAATGTCTCTAAATAGACTGAAATAATTCCTCCCAGCCCTTAGTTAAGTGTCTAGACGCTGTGCAAATTCGTCAAGAACCGGTCAGTTTTTTCTTTTTGCCATCCATGTCTCAATGAGATTTTACCCCACTTCCTGCCCTACTGGCACAACAGGAAGTGAAAGGAATGGTGTAATATGCTGCAGCCTGAGTTGTGCCGGGTGTAATATGCTGCAGCCTGAGTTGTGCCGGGTGTAATATGCTGCAGCCTGAGTTGTGCCGGGTGTAATATGCTGCAGCCTGAGTTGTGCCGGGTGTAATATGCTGCAGCCTGAGTTGTGCCGGGTGTAATATGCTGCAGCCTGAGTTGTGCCGGGTGTAACATACTGCAGCCTGAGTTGTGCCGGGTGTAATATGCTGCAGCCTGAGTTGTGTCGGGTGTAATGCTCTGTATGATCAGAATGTTGCCCCACCAGTCACACAGGATGGAACACATGTGACAAGTGATGAAACTTACAGTATTTTGTCTTCTCTTCGCCCTGCAGCCCGGAGACTCACAACGCCTGAGGAGGGTTTTCTTGTTTTAATGGTACACTGATAATAAAATGGTTTCTCTTCCAGAAGATTCTGATTCTCCGATTCATTGTGAAAGAGAAGACGCAGAATACAATGTATATCATATATAATGTATACACGGCGACTTTATATTGTATCCATTGTTTCCTGTACAGAGGAAGGAATTATATATCTATTAGATTTATACCGGGGGTTACAATATCATATATATTAGGGATGCGCCGATACTTTTCGAGTACCAGTGCCGATACTTGTCATTTTCATGAGAGCTCACGGGGTTGCAGCGGTTGCAGCTGGGACCGGGCTCTGGCACTCCACCACTGTCCTGAAATCATCAGTCTGTATTGTTTTAGGAAAACTGTCACATGACAATAAACAAAAATGTATCAGTACTCGCAAAACTGGTATCTGCGCATCCCTTTCATAAATCGTACATTAAAACAGAGATGTACAAATCCCGGGAGCTCCGTGTGCTCCTTACACATGGCAGCGGCCTCCTAACTTTAGAATGTTTCTCTAGTCTGGTCTTGGAGCTGGAAAAGTATCTGTATTTGTACTTGTACCGAGCACGGTACTTGGTATCGGTGCATCCCTAATATATAATGTATACACGGTGACTTTATATTGTATCCATTGTTTCCTGTATAGAGGAAGGAATGATATATCGCACAGAACTATACCGAGGGTCACAAACTTCATTTTAACTCAACAGGAAATATAAAAAGTGATGTGAGGAGTAATCTGGTGATGAGGTTTTCCACTTGGTTTCAGAAAGAGTAGAAATAGCAACACTTGAGTCCCCACCACAAGATGGGTTAGGATTCTCACTTCTTTTTAAGCAAACAATGTATTTATCTTGTGTGGCCTGTTGATGTCTTCTAGATCAGCCCTATTAATCAGGGGGCCACCCGGCATCCTCGGGGGTGCCTCGGAATTTCCGCACAGCGTCATGGCTTTCCATGGTGCAGGTGGGCAACAAACGA